CTTCATCGCCCTGCTGAGGTAGTAATCGCTCCTGATTCCTTCATCGCCCTGCTGAGGTAGTAATCGCTCCTGATTCCTTCATAGCCCCGCTGAGGTAGTAATCGTCCAAGATTCCTTCATCATATATCTGAGGTAGTAATCGTTCCAGATTCCTTCATCATCCCTCTGAGGTAGTAATCGCTCCTGATTCCTTCATCATATATCTGAGGTAGTAATCGTCCCAGATTCCTTCATCATCTTGCTGAGGTAGTAATCGTCCCAGATTCCTTCATCATCCTGCTGAGGTAGTAATCGTCCCAGATTCCTTCATCATATATTTGGAGTAGTAATCGTCCCAGATTCCTTCATCATCCTGCTGAGGTAGTAATCGTCCCAGATTCCTTCATCATTCTTCTGAGGTAGTAATCGTCCCAGATTCCTTCATCATCCTGCTGAGGTAGTAATCGTCCCAGATTCCTTCATCATATATTTGGAGTAGTAATCGTCCCAGATTCCTTCATCATCCTGCTGAGGTAGTAATCGTCCCAGATTCCTTCATCATTCTTCTGAGGTAGTAATCGTCCCAGATTCCTTCATCATTCTGCTGAGGTAGTAATCGTCCCAGATTCCTTCATCGTCATGCTGAGGTAGTAATCGTCCCAGATTCCTTCATCGTCCTGCTGAGGTAGTAATCGTCCCAGATTCCTTCATCATATATTCGGAGTAGCAATCGTCTCAGATTCCTTCATCACATCCTTATCAAAAAAACCTCTCTAGTCCAGCTAAATCGACTCCCAACAGATTTTTCTGATGAAGACTCAGTAGAAGTTATCAGGTTATAATGTCCTATTGGTTCTCTCTCCGACGGTGCATGAGATTTCCATTTTAGGTTTTTCTTTGAGATTATAATTCCATTTTGGTTCTCTCTCCGACGGTGCATGAGATTTCCATTTTAGGTCTTTCTTTCAGATTTTATAATTCCATTTTGGTTCTCTCTCCGACGGTGCATGAGATTTCCATTTTAGGTTTTCTTTAAGATTATAATTCCATTTTGGTTCTCTCTCCGACGGTGCATGAGATTTCCATTTTAGGTCTTTCTTTCAGATTTTATTTTCCTATTGGTTCTCTCTCCGACGGTGCATGAGATTTCCATTTTTAGGTTTTCCTTTGAGATTATAATGTCCTATTGGTTTTCTCTCCGACGGTGCATGAGACTTCCGTTTTAGGTCCAGCTTTCAGGTTATAATTTCCTTTGGTCCTCTTCCCGATACTGCGAAGACGGTAATTCCCATCAAGATTTTCTCAACGAGCGTTGTTGAAGTTAAAGTCACTCAAGGTTCTCTTACCATTCATGCTAAGGCAGTAACCATCTCTGGTTCATTCATCGCCGTTTGAAGCTCCAGACTCAGCTCCTGTAACCAGTCAGGACACATCTATATCAAGCATCTGAAATCAGCTCCTGCAACGTGTCAGGTACTCATTTTTCTTTTGCAGGTATGCAGGTTCTCGCTAAAGAATCTCCTACGCGATCAACATCCAGATGGCATCTATAAGCCCATCATCCTATTCATCAACCCCCAAATGGCATCTATAAGCCCATTCCCCCATCACTGCTACCATGTGAGCGCAAATTTCTGGGCACTCTAGTGTCCAATCATCTTCTACCTTCGGATACGAAAGGCACGTCAGCCAATCTGCATCCTCAGGTCTAAGAAGATTGAACAGGGGCAACTGTTGTACCCCAAAATTTGCCCTCCCATATTCTCCAATAAACTGCCAAGTCAAGCTACAAAATTCCCCAAGAGTTGCACAGTGCAAAGGCCTCCATACAGTCAAAACTAGGGTTTGTGTGCTGATCAAGAAAATGGAGTGTTCAAAAGCCCAATCAAGTCTCACATGCCTACAAAGATGGTCAAGTATCCTCATATCAAGTTTCAAGGCATTCAGCTCAAAATTGCACAGTCAAAACCCTAAATTGCACTACAGTCAACTGTAGGGGCAAAATGGTCATTTGACAGTCAAAAGTTCAAATTTTTGGTCAACATATCATTTTGAAGCCACAAACATCATTTGATCAATGCTTGATCATGATTCTCAAAATTTGGCTCAGAAATCATCAAAGATGCAAAAGTTACTATATTTGGACAGTTGAAAAAGTCAACTGAAATTGACCAGGGCATAACTTTCACATGGATTATCAGAAAAATTCCATCCAAAGCTCATTTTGAAGAGAAAGACATTTCCTACAACTCATCTTCATACTTCAAGTCCAAGAAATGATCTCACAAAAAGTTATCAATTTCAACATTATAGGTCATTTTCAAAAGTCAACAAAAAGGGACTTTAAGTCAAAGACCATAACTTGAGATTGGTAAATCAAAATGACATGGGACCAAAGGCATTGGTTAAAGGACTCAAAGACCTTTCCAAAATGTCCAAGAACATGAGAAAAGCTTAAAAATTGAGCAAGTTATGCCTTGTAGAAGTTGGGAAATTTTTGTGAAATGGCAAAAGTCAACTATCCTTGAAACTTCAATTTTTGACAAAAGGGCCCACTTTCTTCCACTTGATTCAGCCTTGTCATGCCACACACGTGCCCCATGATTAATTTCAAGACCAAATATTGATTTTTCTATTTTATTTAATTTTTGATAATTTAATTCATTTTAAATCTTTAAAAATTCAAATAAAATTCAAAAGTCAATGAAATAGTGTCATTTGAATTGGGATAGCTTCCATATATCATGTGCCAGCTCACAAACTCATGCTAGGGTTAGATTATACACCAAGCCTTGGTTTTGCCTAAAAAAAAGGGAAAGTTTGTTAAGGGTGAAAAAACCTAAACCTAATTCTCTTATTTCATGGATCTTTGACCTAGTTTAGGGTTATGTTGTACACCAAGTCTTGGTTTTTCTTAAAAAAAGGGAAAGTTTGTTAAAGGTGGAAAACCTAAACCTAATTCTCTTATTTCATGGATCTTTGACCTAGTTTAGGGTTATGTTGTACACCAAGTCTTGGTTTGCTTAAAAAAAGGGAAAGTTTGTTAAAGGTGGAAAACCTAAACCTAATTCTCTTATTTCATGGATCTTTGACCTAGTTTGTACCATAATTCCCTTCCAACATAAATATTGAAGCAAACCCTAAAGCCAAGAGGGCACAAGCTGCTACAGAACACCATAAGCAAATTCCAAAATTCAAGGAAAATTTGAAAACCGAATTCCACATTCAAGCACAATTCAAAGCCTTAGAGTGATTCCAACACACTGCTGATATTCCCAGGAACGGATTGGAATAAAAAAAAAACAAGCCATAAAGCTCCAAGAACACGCAAGAACAAGTCACACGGTTTGAATTTTTTCCATAAACGCATACTTCGATTCATGCATCATTAACGTATTTTGTGGATTGTTTTGTGCTCACAGGGACTGTACGAAGCTTTTGGTACAATTTAATTTGATTATAATGCCCTGAAACAAAAACCTCCACTTTAGGGCCTGAAACCCCTGGTTTGCTTTCTCTATATTTTTCTTGTTTTATTTTTAATTCTTATTTTATTTTCTTTATTTGTTTAAACTAATTACTATTTCTTTACAAATTATAAAATACACAAAAATCAGAAAAAGAGAACAATATAATATTTATTTTATTTTAGTTATTTTCATAAATAAATTGTATGTAAATTAACTTAGTATTAATTTAGGTTGCAACTTTAATTCTTTCTTCCATAAAAAAATCCAAAAATATAGCATTAGGTTAATGACTTTTTATTCCTTTTAATTTTCCTTTTTTTTTGCCATAATATTAGTGATTTATTTATTTTCATAATTAAACTTGTAAACTAATTAGGGTTGCATTTAGATTAAATTTTAATACTTTCATAATAAACTTAAAAAATAATTAGAACTAGGTTTAACATTTCATTTTGGTTTTTAATTAATTCTTTTTTTTATTAAATCTCAAAAAACACAAAAATACTAAAAAACACTTTCTTTTAATTCTTAATTTTAATTCCTTATTAATAATATTTCGCAAAGGGTCCAACGCCCATGTTCGTAATTTATTTTCGCGCATTTATTTTATGTCGTTTATTATAATTATGTAATTCTCCCAAAGCATTGTAACAATTATACTTTTCGCACTTTTATTTAATTTCTTTATTTTCTTGTCAAATCGGGTCCGGTTTAATTTTGGCGATGTGGACCCGCGCCATTTGTAATAGTCTTAGATTTACTTTTCCCGCAACTTTTAACTGTTAACAAAAGCATGAAAGAATGTATGGACTTAAAATAAAATCAAGCGTAGAACACCAATAAACATGACAAGACAAACATCAATGAAAACGACACACAATTCGCACACACCACCCCTAGGGTACGCCTCACTGTTGCCTTGCCTTTCGAAAGGTGATCGTCGAGTAGAGGATGTCTTAGTAAGTCCTCATGATCCGGGAACCTGGCGTGAGGGTAGCTTCTAAGGTGTCTTCCCATTGCTCTGGTGATCACCATGTCCCTATAAACTCGAATTGACCCGAACACCTCCAACGGTGGTGCTACCTACCTCTCAATGGTGGGATGGCACTACTTTAAAGGACATTTACACAGACGAATTCCTTAAGGTAGGTAGACGACTCATGGATACTTGCTCTCTTCAAAATAAAAATTCAAAGACTTTTCACACCAACACTTTTCAAAAGCTTTCAAAGCAAATTTTCCAAACACTCTGACGTACGAGTCGAACTGAAATTTTTCAAAGAAACTTTTTAAACCCACATTGAAAAGCAAGCAAACATTTTTGAAAACACATTGAGCAAGTATGTAAGAGCCCATGGATAACCATGGATAGAAAGGGTGCTAACACCTTCCCTTTCTATAATCTACCTCCCGAACCGAGAGCAATCTCTTTAAGGAATTTTTCTGTGCTTTTGTCCTTTCCATTTGGAGAAAATAAAAGACGGTGGCGACTCTTGCTTACCGCGACATTTCGCGAACCAGCTTTAAAATAGTCAGTTCCAGATCCACCGATCACAGCAAGTCATGTGATTGAGCAAATTCTAAACTTATCAAGAAGATGTAATCAACAAGGTTTTTGTTTGCTACCAAGACGGGCTTCCAAACTGAATTATAAAAATAATCAGAAGTAATCTTTAATAAAACCATAAAACATATATTAATAAAACCAAGGTTGTAAAAAGCGGTTCGTTTCCGAGAAAACAGCCGTGACAAAATGGTATTGAAAACCTTGAATTAAATCCATTTTCATTTTCTACTAACCAGATAACACCTGTTGTAGAGCCTCTTCAGCTTCCATTTTGGTGACATTTGTATTGATATCTAAACCAAAATAGTATGCTGCTATGCTTTTCAAACCAACTATCTCACCAGCAACTGTAACATTCATCATGTTAAGGAATCCAACTCAAAAACATTCAACATTAGATTTTTTCAACAACTAAGAATTTATTTTGTGGTTGTGTATAGAAAAAGAGAGACATAAGCTTTTGAAGGATATGATTCCAACTTGGATAGAAATGTAGTAGTGAATGAGTCCAGTGTCCAAGAATATCCATCTGCCAAACCCTTCATCAAGCATTAAAATATAAATATAACTAGAATAGTTGTCTATTTTCAACATATAGTCTGTTACCACGAAAACGGCCGCAACAAACTGGTATCGGAAGGTGATGATACAATGCTGTTATTCACTTTCACAATGTAGTGTAATACAAGGATTGACATCTGATTCTTTGAAGGCATCTGCTTCAATGACTACGGCATTTCCTGATGCTCCTGCCCAGAAAGGTCTGTTTAAATTTCATTCATAAAGAAACAACATTAGGTTCTTATAACTGTTTATTTTGACAATTTCATGATGAGTAGTCTTGTACATCAAAACTCTAAAGCTAGATAAACACTAATGATAGTTGAAACAAGAAAACAACACATTTATGAACTTCTTTTTGGAGAATCTAAACTAGTTACATATTAATATATACTCAAACAATCCATTATGTGCAGACTTTATACAGAATTAAGCTAACAAAGTAATGTTTAGTTTTTGCTCAGAAACTGTAATTTCTTGCTGTAATTCTTACTCTTTGAGAATATCCTTGAGTACAGTGCTCTTGCCAGCTCCCATACCTCCCCCCATTAGAAGAAGGACCGGGCTCCTATCACTGTGAGCCACAGGAGCCATTACCTCTGTACATTGAGAGTCATCGTTTACTGCAATACCCATCACTTTCATCTCTTCCACTAATGTATTAAAAACACTAGCCACCTTCAGACTCTTGGCAACTCTCTCGAACCTTTGATCCCTGTGCAAAGAATACTATTCACCTTTAGAAAAAAATAACAATTCTTTGGAACATAATAATGATTCTCATCTCATTTTAAAATATATTATACTAGGTGTTCATAAAGAATGTTAGAAATACAAACCTAGTAGCAGCCATAACTATGTTCTTTAGCTTCTTTTTTGGCTCAGAAATGTCCGAGCTCAAAACCTGCAAAGCCAAAAAAATCAGTTTTAGAGTGTATTGCTGCTAACACCTATGATATTTTGTTAATAACTAGATAACCCTGATACCTGACTTATCAATATGTCACAATGGTTCCAATGAAATCCAAAGTAACTAAGAATGCATCTCTCAAACTCTTCCACCAACTTGACATAAAGTGAATCAGCATCTGGTTCATTCTCAAAATAGGAATATATATCATCTTCAAACCCTTCATATTTGCTTATGTATTCAGAAGCCAATCTACATATATCAGGACCGATTCTCCTATCCTTGAACCCCATTTGCCTAGCTGTAACAAATCAAAGAAAATGACATATAGATTCATTCCAATTTCCAAATGATAAAATAATAACGGATCCATCAATGTATGTAATTGAATAGAATACATATTTTTTTGTATACCTACGTAATGAGAGAATCTTTCAAGCTTTGGGGGGTGACCTGCACGCGATAATCTTAAACGCGAAATGATCTTTTGATCTCGAATCTTTTTGAGATGATAACGCAATGCTATGAAAAATATCAACCAAATAGATGAGATTACCAAGATCTGTGTAAAGCTGGGTTTAGCATCATAATCTGAATCAACATTGGATTGTGTGAGGAATATACATTATATATAATACCGTTATTGACATTGCTATAGGAATTTATGAAAAACAAATGGATAAATTTATATACATGCTGATGAAACTTGACTTGTTCTTAACAAATGCATTATTACCTGTCTGTATGTCATCCATAAATCAAAAGCCAATGACCACAAAAGGTGTAATGAAGGATATATAATTTTGTCTCTTTTGCCTTTGTTTTTTTTAACTTTGAATCTGTAATGAAAATGATTGGTACAAACTCACACAAACACAATGGAGAACAGACATGAGGTGTTAGTGCTAATCTTCTTTTGCTCCATTATACCTATTTTCTCTAAACAGTACACTCTTGTTCCAAATCAGTTTATCCAACATCATGAAACACTTGTTTCTGCAGCTGGAACCTTTGAAGCAGGATTTTTCAACTTTGGAGATCCACAACGTCAATACTTTGGTATATGGTACAAAACCATATCACCTACGACTATTGTGTGGGTTGCCAATAGAGATACTCCTGTACAAAACTCAACAGGATTGCTGAAACTCACTGATCAGGGAAATCTTGTTATTCTTGATGACTCCAAAGGCGTTGTTTGGTCCTCCAATTCATCAAGAATTATGGTGAAACCAGTTGTTCAGCTTTTGGATTCAGGAAATCTTGTTCTGAAAGATGCAAACAACACTCTGAACTTTTTATGGGAAAGTTTTGATTATCCTGGAAACACTTTCCTTGCTGGAATGAAGCTGAAAAGTGATTTAGTTACTGGCCCATATAGACATCTCACATCTTGGAGAAGCACAGCGTTACTCATTTGGGTACCAAGAGCCTATGCCCGTTGAGCAGTTGGTTCAATCTCTCTGTGATACTAAGCAGGGTTACACACGATTCAATTCTAAAACAGGACTAGCGTTGTGCCATTGGTGCCAACAATCAGGCAGCACAGTCAATTCTAAAACAGGACTACAAGGATGATATCACAAGGGAAGAAGCAGTTCAACTTGCACTGAAGGTACTGAGTAAAACTATGGACACCACTAGTCTTACCTCGGATAAGCTTGAACTTGCAGAAGTTTTTCTTTCACCCTCTGGAAAAGTTAAGTATCAAGTTTGCTCCCCAGAGAATTTGACTAAGTTGTTGGTGAAGTCCGGAGTGACTCAACCCGCAACAGACACTGCTTAGCTTTCTGTTCTATGTCACGGGTAATTTACTTGCTAAAGTTTCCTACATATGAGATTGTTCCAAAGTTTTTTTACGTTAAAACTTGTAAACTTCTCATACTTTGGTGATGCTAATGATTTTGCATTTCGTATACAAACTCGACAAAATTTGTGGATGGAAAGTGCAGATGGTGTTCAACGGCTCAAATCTTATTGATCAATAGGATCAAAATAGTTTGCAGGAATTTCCCCAGCAGTCAAAGATGCCATACTCAGAAACTGTTTGTAACCCCTACCCAAAAACCACAACCCTAAATGGCAAATTTTGAATCACATCTAAAAACCATAATTTTACACCCCAAGAAACTACAACCTGATAACTCAAATTAAAACTGAACAGGAATAAGAAACAGATGAACAAGTTAATATACCAAAAGCACAAGGAAAATGAAAACAATGAAGGTTAGTTTAATGAAAAGGGCTAAAACATGGATAGTGGCTAAAAAAGAATAGATGATACAGAAACTAAACTCAGAAATCTCTGCTTAGTTATAAAGAAAAGTGAAATATCAAAGATGGAGAGGAAGATGATGAAGAGAATGGCAGAGAATGGCATCAAGTTTATAACCCCTGTCAACCATGCGCTTAAGAAAGCGGAGAGCTCGATTGTACTTAGCTGATTTGAATGACCTAATGAGAGCTTCATCGTAATCTTGATCAAGTTTTGGCCTTGTTTCATTGACCCTGATTCTTGTTCTTCGGTTGTTGGTGTTGCCTGGGGTTGAGGAAGTGACGATAGTGTTGGGATTTGAACGGCGAGAAGTGCGGTTTGGGTGGTTTCTGAAATTGAGAGTGTGTGATAAGAATTCAGTTGAAAAGGTTGTCATTGATGATGACGATGATGTTATCGGTTGTTGTTGGAAGATTTATGGCTTGAGTTTGGACAAAATTCAGTATCATAGAATGGATAAGGGACGATACATATTTTATCCTAACCAAATATTATCCTAAAAAATCATTAAAAAAAATAAAACCCTAAAACAACAAATTAGAAAACCTAACATCAATTCAATATATTCAAACTCAAATGAAAGGTTTAAGGGTGCGACGGTTGTTTTACCGTCGTGAAATGAATTTTAGGACGGATAATTTTACCGTCGTGAAAGGTTTAAGGGTGCGACGGGTGCTTTACCGTCGTGATATGCCTTTTAGGACGGTTAATTTTACCGTCGTGACTAGTTGTTGGTGAAAAATCAATGTTAAAAGTGTTAAATGGGGGCCGACGGTTGTTTTACCGTCGTAATAATAATATTATGATGGTTAAATATACCGTCGCAAAATAAATATTAGGGACGGTTGGTGTCAAATGTCGTAAACACTGTCTCTATATGTCAATTACGACAGTTATCACATAACTGTCGCAATTTTTGTGTCGTTAAACACTAATTTTCTTGTAGTGTATCTGAAAGGTACTACTAATCTGGGTTTGTTTTATAGAAAATCTAGTGATTACAGCTTAGTAGGCTACTGTGATGCTGACTTTGCTGGAGACAGAGTAGAGCGTAAAAGTACTTCTGGAAGCTGTCAGTTTCTGGGAGAAAATCTGATCTCTTGGTCCAGCAAAAGGCAATCCACAATTGCGCTATCAACAGCAGAAGCTGAGTACATAGCAGCAGCAGGATGTAGCATACAAATGCTCTGGATGAAAAGTCAGCTTGAAGACTTCCAGATTTTTGAGAGTAACATCCCTATACTCTGTGACAATACTTCTGCTATTTGCTTAAGTAAGAATCCTATTTTACATTCTAGGGCTAAGCATATAGAAATAAAACATCATTTCATTAGGGACTATATTCAGAAAGGAATTTTGAATTTAAAATTTATTGATACAGACCATCAATGGGCTGATATCTTCACTAAACCCCTTTCTGAAGATAGGTTCAATTTCATTCTGAAACATCTCAGCATGAAAATCTGCCCAGAGTGAAAATGCTTTAATTCTATATATTTATCTTCATAATGTATTTGTTTTACTGTGAACTTCTGATCAATCTCTTTTCAGAAAGAAAGAACATGCAGATTGTATCAGATGCTAGTCTTAAAGATCTGAGCGTTTCAGCTCAAGGATAGACGTGCTGATCACTAAATCAAACAAGTGTCATCCAATCATCAGCAAATCTCTGAAGCAGAACACGCATGCACGCTTCTGAGAAGGCAAAACACTGATTGGGTGCATTGAGACACATGTCTGGTAACCGTTTCAAGTATCTTTCTCAAATCCCCCAAAATCAGCAAGCATTAAATGAAAGTAATCATGTTTTAAAAACGTAATCATAATTTTATTGAAACCGTTTACACTTTCAAAAAGTATTTTGAAATCTATTTAAGCACGTTAACTTCTCACATTAATCCTTCACCGTTTCTCATAATCTCTCAAATATTTTCTGCATTTTCTCTGTGTTCATCTCTTTCAAACTTAAATCCATTTTCTCAGTTTTCTCAGAAAAACCCTAAGTGTGAACATGGCAACCTCCAGCAGTGCTTCTGCAGGTTCTCAGAAGAAAGATTCCTCTAAACAGTACCAAGTTCCATTCAGAACACTCCTTACACCAGTGAAGAATCTAGAAGTGTTGTCTGAACTGATTATTGACGTTGGCAGTCTGAAAGAGAATGGCTTTGACTTGACAGAAGAAGTTAGGGCACAGAAATGGGAAAGATATTTTGACAGGTTGGTTGGACCAACGTTCCCAGTTTTAGTCAAGGAGTTCTGGATTCATGCGTCCTCTTCAACGCATCAAGTCACCTCCTACATAATGGGAAAGAAGATTGTGATCACTGAGGATCACATAGCAAAACTGATTGGTTACAGTGGCGGTGGCGTCCGCTGTATTGATATGGCTGAAAGATGCTCTGACGTTGGTGTCATAGCAGAACAGATTTTCACCCTTGGGGTGCCCAGCAGCAAAATCAGAGACCTAAAGGATCACCACAGAGTTTGGGCGAAGATCATTCTGGGGTGCTTTAATCATAGGAAGCCAACAAGTTCCCCTGATTATATAAATATAGATCAGCAGTTTCTGATCTACTTTATTAATCAGAAGGTAAAAATCAACTTGGCTCATCTTCTATTTAATCACCTCAGAACAAGCGTCAAGGAAACCAGGGAAGAAGAAAGAACAAAGAGGGATTGGATACCCTTTGGAAGGTTAATATCAGATATTCTGACTGAGAATAGGCTGATAGAGCACCTTATAGAAGCTCAAGAGTTAAGCACCATTGAACCAACTGTTGGCAAGTCTCTGAACGCGAAGAATCTGAAGAAAATGAAATTGATAAAGAATATCAGAAAGGAGCCCAGCGTTACTCCTATTGCTGACATCACCAGCAGAAGAGTCCCACTGAGCGACTTTCCGTTATTTTCTGAGATAGAATCTAAACCAGTGGTGGTTCTCAGATACTTGGACGCGTGCAAGGCTGATGGTACAGATCCCAAGCTGAATATCAAAGATCTGCACCAACAACAACCAGAAGTTTCTCTGAAGAAGACGAAGAAAAGGAAGGCCACTTCAGAAGGATCATCCCAACAGACTCCCAAGAAAAGAGGTAATTTATCTGCTGCTTCTGTTTTAAATTCTTCTGCTATTCCAACATCAATCCCAACTCCAGCTTCTCATGAAATCCCAATCCCCATACCAACTATAGATGAAACCGAACCAGAAGATGACCCTTCTGAGGCACTGACAACCAGAAATTCCACCTCCTTCTCCACAACCAGCAATTCCTCCTCCCTCTCCTCAACCAGAAATTCATCCACCATCACCTCAACCATCACCTCCTCAACCTGAGTTTCATCATTCTGAAACTCCATCTCTTGAACCACATTCTCCTCAATCCTCTGAGGCACAACCTCTGGCAATTCAACTGCCATGTGGAACAACTGTAACCATGGCCCAGCTGCCATCCTCTCCAGAAACTACCCCTCCAAATACTC